GCTTTTATTAAGTCTCTCATAAAAAAATCCACAACTTTACCCCAAAGAACTAGTAAATTACAGACCGATCTCGAATCTCCCTTTTCTGTCCACGATACTAGAAAAGATAGTATCCTCACAATTATATTCCTTAGAGAAAAATGGTAACTGTGAGGATTTCCAGTCAGGATTTAGACCATATCATAGTACTCCTGTGGTCATTCGCAGACATCCTGGCGCCCAGTCTATTGGGTGAGGGGTCTGTGACGACTTGTTAATCTAATGAATAACTGATTTGTTAAATCAAATGAAAAATTGTGTTTTTGATTGGTCCAGACACTACACTCAACATTCTGCCAAGATAACCAGCTTATTTTAAAAAAATAAGCTGGTTATCTTGGTTGAGTGGTGGTTGACTGGGTGGTTGACTGGTTTTGTTCTAGGCTTGATTGTGTTTATGGGGTGCAATCTAACGTGTTCATGCTTGTTTTTTTTAAAAAAACGCATTATTTTTCATATAATTTACCTTTATTCTTCATCGCTCTGTCCCTTCTCTGATAAACGTGCCGATCATTTCCTGCTTTTATGAAGCCCCTCCCTCAGAAATACGCAATGGACTCTGATTGGTTAACTAGTCCAGTGTGTTGTGATTGGCTAAACTGCCTCTAAGCGTCCCGCCCCTCTATGGCAAGCCATTTGGACTTTTATTCATTCTCAGGATATGAATTCTTGATATCAACAATTCAATTTTTACTAGTTAAAATGTTAATTCTTTATATCAGGAATTAGATTTCTACTAGTAAAAATAGCTATTTTTGATATCAGCAATTACATTTCCACTAGTAACAATGTCAATTCTTGATATCAACAATTCAATTTTCACTAGTTAAAATGCTAATTCTTGATATCAGGAATTACATTTCAACTAGTAAAAACTATAATTCTTGATATCTGTAATTGTATTTTCACTAGTTAAATGTCACCATAGGCTGCCATTCAAAATCAATTGTCGATATCAAGAATTAATTTCTTACTAGTTGAAATTCCAATTTCACATATCAGAAATACAATTCTTACTAGTAAAAACCTTTATTTTTGATATTAGTAATCCCCTGGTTACTAGTACAGATGTCTCTTCTTGATATCAACAATTTAATTATTGATATCAACAATTACATTTTTGATATCAACAATTTATTTGTCACTAGTGACAATGTTCCTTTCTGATATTATGAATGTGATTGTTACTAGTAAGAAAGCCATTTTGGATATCAGAAATTACCCTCCCAATTGAAAAGTAAAGTACGGTTTATTTAGGAAATTTGTATCTTTGTATCTAATGGTCTCTCTGAGGGCTAAGCCCCCCTGAGGATGAAACCCTAGAACCGCCCCTACATTTAAAATGTTTTTTAAATGATTTATCTATTTTGAGATAACAGTCTCTATTCCGTTTTATTTTGTGTTGTTTTGCCAAAACAACACTCAATGTTGAAAGGGATAGTAGAGACACGCACATTTCCAAAACTAGTCAAATATTGACTAATTATTTAAGGATACAATTGTTGTTAGGTCTTAAGTAAACTCATTTATAGTTACAAAGTAAAACAACAACAACAACAATATAGCCTAATAAAATAGCATAATAATAATTATAATTATATAAAATAGCCTAATAATAATAATAATAATAATAATAATAAGCAATCAACCAGATGGGCAAGATTACAAAATTCTTATTAAATCGTTGTCCATTCTCCGAACCCACTACAACTGAGAGATTGTTATTCATGTCTTAACGTTCAAAAGAGTGTATCAGTGCAGTGCCATATTTAATGTAACATTGAAATGGCTGAGACAGACATGAGAAAGAGGTTCAATAGACTTTATCATTCATTTTGTCCACCGATACTTCAAGAACTGGACAAGATGTTATATAAAAATAATGCCTATTAGGACATTACAGTGTGTATCACGTTTGGTCCCAATGGTCAAGAAGAATGGTCAATGGTATCCGAGCCGAGAGTGCAAATATGTCGGCTCATCAAACGTGTCGGTGTACATAATAATACATCAAAATGTACAGTTTAAAAAAACAAAAAACAAAGACACCCGCCTTAAAACAAACGAATTTGGGCACGCAATATTACGACTCATTCATGTAGCCTAAATACGATATTTACATTTTTTTTTTTTTTTAAAGTCCAGTAAAACGTTCAAACTTTGAACGCATTATTATCGGTTTTATTTTTCATTTTGGTTGTATTTTCTTATTTGATGTATTAGAAGAAAGTGTAATGAAACCAAAAATAAACATGAAAAAACGACATGAAGTTATTTTTTTATCAAGGTTGGAGCTAAAGTCTGCAGGGCTGGTGTGGGGTCTCCAGGACCGACGTTGGCCACCCCTGGATTAAATGGTTTAAAAACTCATTGGTTATTACCAGAGGTGTCATGACCATTCAAAGTGAGTTTTGAATATATAATAGATCAGATCCTTTCATTTCTAATGAGCAAAGCAAACCTGGTCTTTCATGAACTGGATTTAATTGTCACCTTCTCTCATTTGGCCTTAAAGACCTTGTTGTTTCATTTGATATGGTGTTAGATCAATTATGTAATCTGTCCCTATTCCAGGTCACAGTCTGATTTCTGGAGTGGACTCCCCACGACCTCTGGCAGGTCAACAGGAAGTACATCTGAAGTTCATGTTGACAGGCCTGCTGTCTGGCCTGCCCTTGCCCCCATTCTCCCTACGGATGTGCCCTCCACTTACCACCAAGAACATCAACCACTACCAGCCCTTATTGGCTGTGGGTGAGTACTTCACATGCAAAGACCAGACCATACATTTTTAGAGTTTTATGACAGTCAGTCTCAATACAAATGAATGGATAGTGCCAAACAGTTCAAGCTTGCTGCAAAATTGTTGTTGACTTACGAAAAAAGTATCTTCAAAAACTTTTTTTTTTTCATAGTATAGTTAAATTATATGTTTAGAGACTAATTTCGACAGAAAAATAAGACCATTCATTTTATGAATATATAGATTAGGGGTGTGCAATATTGACAAAAAGCATCACAATATTTTCTATGATTTTAGACTGTTTAATGTAGCTCAGAGGTGGCATGAATGCATAAATAATTCCAAATTAATATTTTTTTTTCAATTAATATTTGGATATGAAATTTATTTTTTATTTTTTAAATGAACTTTAAATATGAAACTAAAACCATCAGTACCATCAGTAGGTGGTCTCTATTTACTGTCCTCATGAGTCAGTCTTTAGCCCACGGATTTTAATCCCATCAAAAACTGGCAATTCCAGATCAAAATACAGTTAAATAAAAGTGTTTTCCCAAATCCTGATTTCTTGTTTTTTGCATATTTGTCATGCTTATGTAAATCTAACATAAAACAAAGGCAAGTTGGGTAAACACAAAATGCAGTTTTAAATGATAATATTATTTATTAAACAAAACCGTTATCTATTACCAACTGGGCCTGTGTAAAAATGTATTTGCCCCTGTAGTTACTAATTCCCAAATCTATGAAAGTGCACTGCATTCATAATGGGGTTCAGCTGGACTAGGTGTAACCAAGCCTGGTTACTGCCAGCCCTGTTCAATTAAATCAACACTTAACTAGAACTTTTCAACAGCAAGAATTTGGTTAAAAGGTCATACCCAGTAACACAATATGCGAAAGCTGAAAGAAACTCCAGAAATAATGACAAAGAAGGAAATTGAAATACATCAGTCTGGGAAGGATTACAAAGGTTCTTGGACTCTAAAGAACTACAGTGAGAGCCATTATTTCCATTATCACCAAAATTCCTCCAAGAGCACAGTGCAATCCGGGAAGTCACAAAAGACCCAAGGGGAACTGCAGGCCTCTCTTGCATCACTAATGATCACTGTTCATGACTCCACTATTTGAAATATACTGACCAAAAATGGCATTCATGGAGGTAGTTGTGAGGTGAAAACCACTGTTAACCTTACTAGAAAATCCTAAAGGAGAGTGTCCGGTCTTCAGTCTATAATAAATAATAAAGTTTTGGAGAGGCCTAGTCAGAGTCCTGACTTGAACCCTATTAAGATGCTGTGGCAGGACCTTAAATGGCCAATTCATGCACAAAAATCCAATGTGGCTGAACTAAAGCAATTTGGCAAACAAGAGGCCAAAATTTGACCACAGTGCTGTGAATAACTCCAGCATTTGGTTGCAGTTATTGCTGATAAAAGTTGCACAACCAGGTTTTAAGTTTAAAGGGGCCATTCATTTTTCACATGGGTGATAGGTGTTGGATAACTTTTTTTTTTTCTTCAGCGTGAGATACGTGTTTAAATTTCTCTGCTTATTTACATGCATTTATTATAAGCTTCCAGTTCTATAAACTCAAATTAATATTAATACATAAATTAAAAAATAAATAAAATTATTTTTAGTCCCAAGCAAGGGTGAGTTTCCCAAAAGGTGGCATCGTTGGTTAACTATGGTCGTTAGTTCCATTGAACTCTATTGGTAACGACGGACTATCAGGGTGCTTTTTTTAATTTTTTAATTTTTTTGCAAATTGAGTGACAGAATCCATCCAACGTCAGCATATTCATCATTAAAACAAGTACAATATAATTGTAGGTGGTACATATCACACACCTTATCATAGATGTTTCCTTCTCAAAATCAGTGTAGCATTGTGTATTAAGATGCACATATTGTGAGTTTGTTTTTTTCCCAAAAGTAATGTATAGTCTTTCTGTAAGTGAGACCACATTTTTTGAATCTGAAATGAATGTGCCAAGAGAACAAAATCATATGAGCTCAAATGACAAAACTGTCATAAAATCTTATGCAAATATCATTCATCACAGCATTTCAAAACAGCAAGGCCATACTGTAGCTGTTCTGTAATTCCTTCTTAAAGATTCTGCAAAGATTGAAAGCATTGCACAGATATTAAAAACTCAAGTGCATAATTTACAAAACAAATTAAACTTTGACAATTTGTAGACTAATGTATGATTTGAACTAGCTGTGGCTAAAAATAGAGCTTTAATTGAGTTACATCTGTTACTCCGTAACAGAGAAATGCAAAATATATTACAGTTTAAAGACCTTCTAAGTATGTGAAGATCTGTTATATTGCATTATAGAAATATCAATGTGTTCCAAATGAGGTTTCACCTGGTTTAGTCAATGAATCTTGTAAATTGTAATTTGAGCTCTGTGATTGGTGGTGTTATTTTCTCCACTCGTCATCTCATTAATGGAGTCAACGCAGTGGTGCAGTCTTGATGAGATTTTGTTGCTCCCTGAATGCACTATACATCCAATTGAGCAAGCACACCAAGCATTTTAAAGTGAATTCCTCTTGACGGATGCCTTTCTAAAGTAACTCTATAGCACAGTTTTTCAGGAGTGCCTCAGGGATGATAAACTTCAAACTCTCTTTCTGCCTCAATGCACAAGAAATTTTGCTGAATTATTCCCAATAGCGTTTTTTTTTTTAACCGTCTCAAAACTTCAAAGAAGCGATCTTGATGAGTGGTCATTTAGTACTAGAGGAAAAGAAACTCCATCTGCGACTGACTCTGCTGGTGTGACATTTGAAGCCAGACAATTGTACAATTTTAGATGTATCAGTGTCAGTCAGTTCAGTCTACATACAATCCATAAGAGCCTTTGAACTGAAACCAAGAGCCTGGTCTTCACTGATACAAATTAAGTGAATATTAAGCTGTCTCAAGCACTCAGATCTGAAATTACTCTTGCTTGTCTTATAAAACTCTTTGATTGATGGAAAATTATCTATGAATAGCCTGTGCGCACTGTGGTGCCTACTACGTATTTCCTGTGTATTTCCAGCTCATTATTTTGTGCCAAATGATTCTGTGGACGTTATAGCAAACATATCTACAGTGGCCGAGAGAGCTCAACGCACTGCAATGGGGGAAAAAAATAAAATAAAATTCTCGCAAATAGAATAATACACCAGCAAATTAAGAAAACATCTTTATCAGTTTGACAGCAATGCTGCAACGCAACTCACAACGCAACCAAATTCAGAAACGTGTTGCAAATAGCACAGACCACAACGGAAATGTTTCCAGGGGACCTGATCAAGTGATGAACCTGACTGGGCCTGGGACATGCTTGTTGTTCAATGTGTACTCGTGGTGTTGTCGATGACCTGAAATTGTTTATTTTAAAATCCTGATTGTATGATTCCTTATCCTTTTGTTTATTATTTGTCTAAATAATCTGACAAAATATGCAATTAACTGTGACTCGCAATTAATGCAATTAACTCGTGGCAAAAACAGAGAAACAAATAGAGACATAATTAGCGTAGCTGCTGTTCCAGCCAACTTGGCAATGTTTCTAAGATGGAAGAATGCTGTTTTTGTAACATGGGAAACATGATTTTCAAAAGACTTTGAAAAGACAAGTTGCTATCTAATATAAAACCCAGATTTTTGACTGTAGTTTTGTAATCGATCTATGAGTATGTCATGATCTATAGTGTCGAACGCAGCACTAAGATCAAGTAAAACTAGCAATGAGAT